TATAGAATTAGTTGTATGTATGTCAGAATATATACAGAATCTTTGATCTTTAAATCTAGTCTTTAAAGTCACTCAAAATGTTAACAAAGAGCATAAGAAAATTTACTAAACACTTTTCTCACTAAGATTTTATCCATAACTCTAGTGAATAATTTAAATGACTTTAATTATTTTTACTTGTATTTAAACAACAGCCAAAGGTTTATTCATCTAAGCCTGGGGACTGTACAGTCTCCTATGAAATGATTAGATCTGCAATCCCGAATTAGCGTGTAAACACACAGAACAGTAATTGTTGTTTCCTTGTTTATCACCATGGAAAAGCCCTAGGGGATGTCTTTCCCAGGATTTCTAATCAAGTATAAAAGCTTTAGAAGCTGTTAGCATATGACATGGACTCTATAACATCGTGACTTCAGTGTCATGTATGTGGCTTTCTGTCACCCCTTTTGGGGGAGTGTGTAAGTAGAAATTTGACCTGCACTTTAGAACAGCTCCTGGGACATAACACTGTGAGACCAACAAGTGATTCCTTTGCCTATCCAAGCAGGTGTTGTCACTGCACCGGGTCCTCTCTGACACCTATGAAGTTGAATCTGCCTTAGGATATTTGGTCACACACAGACATAGAATCGGCACTGTCAAGTAGGAAGGTGAGTAAATTTATTCTCTAGTTACCTTTCCCCCTCTTTTTCTAACAGAAAAATGAGGGCTGCTGTGTTATAAAAGCAAGAAACTCACCAGAATGGAAATCTGATGTTATCTGCTACCCACCTTTGTCTCATCTCCTGGCTGTGTTGGGTCATTTTCAGTTTGGTAGCGAGTGAGCTGCAACAGCCCCAGAAGATGTCATAAGATCACAGCAGCACCACAGAAAGGAGGTGTTTTCCCTCATTCACTAAAATAAAAGAATAATAAAATGAAAGCAGTCCTATGTGATGAGTTTACATGTCATAAAAATGTATTTGTTAAGTCTTTTTACAGTTAACAATATAACAAGCACATAAATTAATTGTTTGTATTTCATTTCCTCCTATTAATGCTGAAAAATGCTTTGAGAGAACATTCAACATCCTTCTTCATTCTTTGTCTAGCTTGGATGGAGTAGAAAACAATGTATAGAAACACTGAGATAGATGTTCAACCATAAATTTTAAGGTTCCATGGAAGTCCCTCACAATTGTCAATGCAGTGGTTGACTTCATGGATTCTTGAATAAGGTATCTTGAAACCATGTAGACTAGAAGTGACTACCTTCTGGGAAGCAGAATAACAATATGGTACCGCTCTGCATAGAGAATATTTTAATGCTAGTTAGCATAGGGACATTTCAGAGTCTGGTAGAATAATGGAAACATTAATAGGAACTAAAAGGTGAGGGTCAAGATGAGTGAGTAGGAGTGCTGCTAGTACTGTTTCCACTGTTTACATTCAGCAGCTGATTATATCTGAGCCACTTTATCTCTTTATCTTCTAGTAAGGAGATGAATTGGTTTACCATATTTTGCTAATTAGAAAATACACACAATGATTGAAACGTTAATGGGGAGAGTGTGGTAATATTTTCAGATGCCATAAAACAAAGACAATCTTTTCAATTCTCTCAATCTTCTCATTATGAAGGAGAGTTTGGAAGCAGACATCTGAATCTTTTATTAAAAATGTCTTCTATTCTCTCAGATTTTCCACAATGAGAGAGCTGTCCAGAAACGAGTCCTTGGTGACTGAGTTTGTTCTCGCTGGACTAACAGATTGTCCAGAGTTCCAGCTACCCCTCTTCTGCATGTTTCTAATGATCTACATTGTCACTCTGGTTGGCAACTTAGGTTTGGTCACTCTGATTGCTCTCAATTCTCACCTCCATACCCCCATGTACTATTTCCTCTTCAACCTTTCCTACATTGATCTCTGTTACTCTTCTGTTTTCACTCCAAAAATGCTGATGAACTTCATCTCAAAGAAGAATGGAATCTCCTATGCAGGATGCATGATTCAGCTGTGTTTCTTTCTCTTCTTTGTCATCTCTGAGTGCTATATGTTGACCGCAATGGCCTATGATCGCTACGTGGCCATCTGTAACCCACTGCTGTATAAGATCACCATGTCTCAGCCAGTGTGTTCTGGGCTCTCTCTTGCTGCCTATGCAATGGGCTTTGCTGGAGCCAGTGCCCACACAGGCTGCATGCTTAGACTAACCTTCTGCAGTGCCAATGTCATCAACCATTACTTGTGTGACATCCTGCCCCTCCTCCAACTCTCTTGCACCAGCACCTATGTCAATGAGGTAGTGGTGCTCATTGTGGTGGGCATTAATATCACAGTCCCCAGTGTCACTATCCTAATATCTTACATTTTTATCAGCACAAGCATTCTGGGTTTTTGTTTTGTTCTGTTTTTGTAATTTAGGGAAGAGTGTACAGCGTGTTCGACCCCACTGCTTGTCGAGGAAGAAGACTCCTGACTGCACCTGGTCCACTCTCAGCACACTGATGCCAATTGTCCCTCAGGAAAGCGGAGGTAAATGCACAGAAAGAGCACTTAGCTCTCTGAGTGAAAGGAGAGTGACTTGAGCTAGTCATTATTTGTTTTCTTCTCTTTCCATGTGGCTGAAAATGAGGATGACTCTTATGTTGAATAGCAAGGAACTCAACAGTATTGGGCTCTGACTGTAGTACCTGCATTTGCCTTGTTTTAAGTGTAGTGTGTTGGCTTCAATCTTAATCTGGTACCAAGATGACAATATGAGCTCCCAGAAACAGATCAAACATAATGCAGTACCAAAGAGAGCAAAATTGTCTTCCTTTAAAATATTTTGTCATGTAGTATGTAATAAGAATTAGAATTTGCATATAATATAATAAAAATAAGTTTGTTGTGTTTTTCAAATTTACCACTTATATCATCAATGTTCATATTATGATTCTCTTTCATGCCTTAGGAATACATTATTAAAAGCACACACACACCCCTATCTTTATCCTCTGTCTAACTAAAATGGAATAGAATGGAGTATGTAGAAAATTTGGGTTGTATAGTCATCAATCTTAAACCTCCACAAATCTCTGGCCCTATAATTGAAGTCATGGAATTTTCTAAGAAAGTAATTTGAATTTCTACAGATTATCAAGAATTTCCTTCTAGGAAGTCCTTACTAGAATACTACTGGAATGTTTCTTCTGGTTGGTCACCAAAAAGGAATGAGAGTCCTAGTAGATTAATGGAGACATGAGTAGAAAGTAGGAAGTGAAATATCAGATGAATGAAATGTGATTTTCAAGACAAACTCACCGTATTGAAGCTCTTCATCAGGTATATTGTGGATGCTACATCATCCACT